ATTGCACAGCCTTCCTCCTAGACAAACACCTTTGGAGAAGTCACTCACTTTGCTAATTGGGAGTAGTCATTGAAAGATTCAAAGCCACCACCTGAGGCAGAGCAGCTCAGTGAAAATTTCTGCCTCCTGAAAATTTGGAAAAAATCTGGTTTCCCTCTGCCTCGGTTTTGCAAAGGTCGCATCAGTGAGTGAAGTAGTCTCCTCCAAGTGTCCCAGAGGAGTATCTTCCACCCGAGTCTTTCTCTCCCACTCCATACAGCTTCTTGACACCAATCCCCACCTCCTCTTCCTGGTTCACAGGGATGCCCTCGCTGTAAGTCTCTAGTCAGTGTCCCCAGCAGCCACGAGAGCCCCATTCTTTTCTTCTTTCATCGCAGATGCACTAAGAACACAATAGCTGCTTCTGTCCCTTCCTACCCCTTGTTCCCACCCTGAAATGACCCCGACACATGCCTGGGGCTAGAGTCTGGCTCTTGTCATGTGGCCCGTGTTTCAGCCACTGTAAGTTGTCATCACTGTCAGCATCTCCACCCTCCCTGCCAGTTATATAAGAGGCCACATCGCACAAGCTTTGATTAAATAGAGGCAGCCCTAGAGGCCAAGTGGGCGAGAGGTCCCTTCCAGAACCATGTCCCCTGGGAGAGTAAGTGGCTGTCTCCCGGGCTTGGCTCTCGGAGCCACTCGGCTGAGCTCCCTCCCCATGTTTGCAGCCTTAAATACTCGAGGACGATATGTTATGTTTTCAGCTGGAAGGGGCAAAAGAGAAACAAGCCGTTCAAAATAAGAATTCCCCTGCTGTTTATTTCATTTTGGAACACAATAAGAGCAGACTGAGGACACGACTGAGAGCTGTCAACGCTTCCTACCCTGCTTCCATGCCACCTTTGCTTTGCCAGAAAAGGGGAAAAAAAAGTTGCCAAAGTTAAACAAGGGTCTTATGAATAGTCAAAATAATTGTTTAGCTTGGATATAAGGCCTTAGGTAAACAGATGATTGCCCAAGGCCACGGGCCAGTAAAAGCAGTTCAGCAGGACGCCACTCATTCTGTTCTGCGGACATCAGCCCAGCACTCTCTGCTTCTCCAGGGACTGTTGGTACTGAATTAGTTCTCTCTTCCCACAAGCTTATTACAGCAATTAAGTGTCATAAAGGGGCTCTTGAAAGTAGAGTGTGGGAGAGAGAACTTCTTGTATTAGACATATATTCTTGTGACATTAAATTGAACCACCTGAAAGTTTCACTTAAATAGAATAGTCAAGATACAGAATGTCAAGTTAGTTTGTATTTCTTTTTTGTGTTAGAATATTTCTAAATTGTATTGTTCACCTACTTAACAATTGTCCTACCTCCTGCCTTTCTGGTATTTTTATCCTGATTGAGTCTTTTATAAAAACAATTCTTTATTACTCCTAAAGGCCACCACTAGATTTCTGAGTAATCCACTTCCAAGACTTTTCTGTAGTGAAAATAAGAAGCACGAAAAGGAAACTTGCAGGTCTGGGTTCTGAAGTATGTTGGTAGTGGTATGGATTTGTTGGATTTTGTTTGTTTAGGTTGTTTTGATATCAATTTGTTTCATTGTTGTTGCTTTTTCCCAAAAGTGGGTGGCATCCTTCATAAAAATCTTAATTAGGAGCTTTAGTGAATTATTTGCCAGGTAATTTCAGTCTTGCTATGTAATATTTTTCATAATTGCTTTCCATTTCTAACTTGAAAATAATAGATGTCTTGTTGGCTAGATCAGGATTTTGTTGTCTCACTTGGACAACCCAATTCCATTGAATTGCTCTCGGAAGAAAAATCTGTTGACTATCAAATTCATCAAAGGGGTAGATTCTCTGGTAGTCAACTTTTGAGTATCATGATAAATACATATTTGGTTTGTTATCAAATAGCAAAGTATATGTTGGTAATAAAATATTGGTGTCTGTTAACATAGTTTTTAAATGCTGATAATGTAGGAAAGTGGTTAAGAGCACGGGGGTTAAGACAGAGAGATAGCTCAATGGTGTGGAGCCCATGCTTTGCATGCAGAGGACATGCAGATCTACAATATCAGGAGGAACTCTTTTAATACAGAGAAGCAAATACTTGTGGAGAAGTGATTTCCAGTTGTTGAGCCAGAAATGCCTACCAAAAATCCAGAAGAATGACACAGCAAAACAAATCCACAAGCCCAGCAGGATCTGTAGACCAAAGAAATAAGGTTTCAGCTCTGCATAGTTGTTCAAATATACTATTTTTTGTTTGTTTGTTTGGGTTTTTATTACTAATCCTGTATTGAAAGTAGTAAGAATTCAAGTATATGTTTATCTTCTAGTCATCCATAAAATAAAAATTCATTTGAAGTCAATGTTGAATTTGTGATATCATTTTAATATGCTGAATTTTCTCAATGGATGCTGGAAGCACAATGTTTTTTATGTGGAGTCTGAGATATTTCCACTCATTTTAAACCAGAGGTACACACTCCATAAGGCTGAAAACCAATAATATTGAGAATAGAACTCTGCATGCAAAGTTTAGCAATGAAGATTTCAGGACTAGCTTTGTTTATAATTGTTATATTATCTCATTCACTTTTAACTGTGGAGCCATCAAAATAAATAGACAAAGAAGCAGGTTATTTGTGCATTTGTTTGTTAGGATTTACATAACTTAAAATTTTTATTTCTATAGCATAAGCCTTGAAAAACCAAAGAAAAGAAAGACCCACATACATGTGAAGATGTTTTACTGAATAGTGAGAATTTTATTAATTTTGATTTAAAAACTTAATTTCATAGCAGTATGTGTAGTCAGTGGGTAAGGCACTTACCTAGCACATGGCTAACTGAGTTCTATTCTTGATACTCCAGTCGGTCGCCCATACTGTGCTAGGAGTGACTCCTTGGAAAAAAGCCAGGAGAAGGCCCTGAGCACCACGATATGGCCTAAAAGTGAAAACGCAACTCCATAATCAAAATCTACTACTTTCTGTTCCTGCTCACTCTTCAAGCATCAATTAGTGACTGATTTCCAGTCTTCTTAAATTTTCTATTTGGTAATAAAATAGAAGAAAAGATGAAAATTAGTTATGTGTGAAGTGTGGGGAAGAAAGAAAGTTAGAAGCCTATGTCCCAAAATTTATTAGAAAAATTTTGCATTCATTCAAGCTTTTGCATTCATTCTGCTCTCCTGGGGAAATGGATACTTAGCCTAGCAAATGCTCAGAAAACTTCAAACTGAAAAGTCAGTTAAGGGTGGGGAGGGTGAGCGAGAGTCCCTACTTCCTTTGCTGAGCCTCCATTTTCTCACCTGGAAGGTAGGAAGAATAACAATATCTCTCATCATAAGGCTTTTGCAAAGATCTAATGAGATCAACAAGAAAATAAATATACAATGATATACCTGAACACATTTATGCAAACTCTTTGGAGAGTTATCAACAAGCATGTTTAAAAAAAACTGCTGCGGAGAAGGTAATGCTGCAGTTCTTCCCAATGGCTTTCTTTTGTTGACCACCCGCTCTCTTGAGCTTACCAGTACTAACAGTATTTCCTTCTTTGCTGTTTTTGTATATTTGTAAGTTACATTATGTCCCTCCTTCTCCTTTTTCCACTTTGCTGTATTCTGCTCATTAAAAAAATTCATTAATATCAGATTTATTGTACATGGCACTATTTTATCAGGTTACTTAAAGCATTTAGTAACACACCAATATAAAATTCAGAGCATAAACTAGCCTGAAAGCTCACAGATTGCAGTTTATAAACTCAACAACATGCAGGACCCAGATACTGGACTCTTCTTTATTACTATAGGCTAAGATCTCACCTGCCTAGGGAAGAATGGTTTATGGGAATGATCATACTGGCCTGAGAATTATATTAGGTCTAATGAGTTAGGTGTTATTGTTGATGATGGTGATAATGATGGTGATGATGATGATGATGATGATGATGATGATGATGATGATGATGTTGACGGTGAGCAGTAGGAGGAGGAGGAGGAGAGTATCTCACCCTGCTGTGCCCAATGTCCAGGAGATGCTAAGTCTTAAATCCAGGGCATCACACATGCAAGGAATGTGCTCTGCCACTTGGACCACATCTCCAGCTCTGGTCTCATGAATTTTAATCTTCCTCTAGTTCTATACTGTGTGAGTTGATCAGTGAATTTGACTTTATATATATCCTGTCCACAAAGAACATGATTTCTGTGAGTACCTGACATCACACAAATCGCTATGGAGAAATGTGAAACACATGATATGCATGATCTCTGTTTTAGAGGAGTGTAAAAGAAAAGTAACTTATTTCCAGGCAGTGTTATTTCAGATTTTCTACCCCATGATGTTTGAAGTAAGAAAACCAAAGTCCTGGGCCAGATCAACCTTATTCTAAACTTTATTGTCTCAATTGATACTTTTCTCAGGAATAAGGACATATACCAAGGAAGAAAATAAGTTAAGACAATCAAGGAAATATGGGGAAAGGTTTATAGAGTGTCTACAGTCTTTGCTGTGTTAGGGTAGCTAGTTGTCTGGCTTAATTGGAGCTAGACTGGTCTTCATCTTAACTAAGTCGAAGACCATTGACACACTGCCAGTGCACCCAGCAAGAATCATTTGTGCTAAAATCAAGAAAAGTATCAATGTGAATAAAAGCTGTAATAATCCCAGCACCCCGTTTATCCTGATTAAATTGCTTCCTCTTTAGCGAGCCCTAGAAATATTTTTAAAATTATGTGTGCTTTGTGAATTACTAGAATTTTTACTGACCTACCTTCCAAGCAAATACAGAAGAAAATGTTTCTCCGTTTGTTAGCGTATTGCCAAGTTCATTCATTAATTAGCCTTTCCCACGTAGCACTCTCTTGAGTTAGATGAAGGGAAGTCCTTTGTCTACTGACATTTGGTGTTAGTTCCAGTGAGTTAAGTCGTTCAGAAGATTTACAGAGGAAAACTGAATACATTTGGCAATGTTTTCAAACATTTGTTTGTATTTTCTGTTTTCTAGGAGATGTACGACTAAGGGGTCAGACGGGGGTTCCTGCTGAACGCCGTGGTTCCTACCCATTCATTGACTTCCGTCTTCTTAACAGTGAGTAATCAAGTGTACCTGAAAAGAACAAACATTTTCTTCAAAAAAAAAGAAAGAAAGAAAGAAATTCTCTGAGGAGACTGAACTTCAAAACCTTTGGAGGTCTGCCTTCCTTCCTCTATCTCTTCCCTCCCAACTGGACCTTAACCCTTTGTCTTTACATTTCCTCATGACTGAAGTAATTCTTGGCCTTGTCCTGTGCTCAAAGTTTCACTGGGGGTCAAATGAGATCATGTCAGCTTGAAAATTGTAAAGCACCGAAATCATGAAGCCCATGCAAAGTTTTCCTTTTATTGTCCAACACATTCTTTCCACATCTAGCCAGAGCTAGACTAAATGACATTTTACTGTCTTTTTAAGAACTCTCTTTTCTTTTTAAAAACCCCACAAGGAAATCTATTCTGCAGCTGCTTTTAATAACCGATCCATTATCTAATTCTCTTTTCCTTGTCTAATCTAAATCCCAAGGCCCATTCTTACATTCCTGGTCAAAGTCTATCATGGCCAAGTCCTTTAAGCCTGCCTTTGTTGCTTCCTCCATCACAACATCTCCAAAGTTCACATACTGCTACCTTGCCCCTGCCCCTTCATACACTACTCCTCGTGGAGAATTTTGCTCGACCTCTAGCTCCAATTTCTCCTCATCTCAAATTCCTTTGGAAACCCAAGTCAGTAACCAGTCACACTTCAGATTTTCTATCTTCAAACTGTCGAAATCATCCTTCACTTTGGATTGTGGGGGACTGGGGAGAAAGTGGATAGATTTCACAACTTGCTCCAAGGTTTTCAGTGTTTGGTTCACATATCACTCCCCATCTATAAATTTCAAAGTGCTGAGTTGCACCCACAGAGTATTACTTTCCTTTGGCATAAACAAGTTCAGTTAAAGAGGTAATTTAATTTACCTCAACCCCTGAAAATTACTAGGAGAAATTAGAGCCTTCTATTTCTGATCCTGAGATCCTCAAAAGGCCAGTAGGAGATGGACATGTTTGTATTTCTCCTGGCTTGTTAACCTCCGATATCAATGTGCAATATCTGTTTTCTCAGCTCTTTCAGGGACTCAGAAACTTGGAATAACTCTTTCTGTGCTAGAGAAAACCTTCCTCTCCCAGATTTCTAAAAACACATTTTAGAAGAGAGAATTGAGTCAGTGGAGCATGCAATAACAGATATAGTTTATGGGGAACTCTAACTATTCTCTATGACCCTGTGTGGGCTATTAAAGCTTCCATTAGAAGTCACCCCTCTAATAACTATATGGATTTCCAGTTCCTAGACATAAAGGGGAAAAAAAGGAGAGTGGAGATGAGTAAGAATATATATATATGTATATATATATACACATATATATATAAAACACCCTTAGATACCAAGATATCTCTTTTTAATAGTATACAACATGTAATATAATGGTTTCTAATAAATATTGATTCTAATGTAGTTGTCCATGCAAGTGAGGAAAATGGAAGCTTCTAGATAATAAATATATTCCACTACTAATAAGCATCATCAGTTACAAATGGTCATGATCTTTGGGGTGAAATTATAAAATTTTAACCTCTATAAGCGATAGCACAGTGGTAGGGCATTCGCCTTACAAGCGGCCAACATGGCCAACCCGAGTTCGATTCCTCCGCCCCTCTCGGAGAGCCCGGCAAGCTACCGAGAGTATTCGATATGCCAAACACAGTAACAACAAAGTCTCCAATGGAGACGTTACTGGACCCGCTCGAGCAAATCGACGATCAACGGGAGGGCCTTTACCTTTACCTTTATCATCACTACCACTATCACTATTCTCCCGTTGTTCATCAATCTGCTCGAGTGGGCCCAGTAACATTGTGAAACTTGTTACTGTGTTTGGCTTATCAAATACATCACAGGTAGCTTGCCGGGTAGCTTGCCAGGCTTTGCCGTGCAGGCAAGATACTCTTGGTAGCTTGCCGGGCTCTCCAAGAGGGGCGGAGGAATCGAACTTGGGTTGGCCATGTTGGCTGCATGCAAGGCAAATGCCCAACCCGCTGTGCTATCGCTCCAGCCCAACCTCTATATCATAGGCTTCTTCTTCTTTTTTTTTTTTAGTGAAACACCATGAGGTACAGTTGTTGACCTTACTAGTTTTTGTGCTTGGGTTTCAATTATACAATGATCGAGCACCCATCCCTCCACCAGTGCCCATTCTCCACCCCCAATGATACCAGTAACCCTCCCACCCCTCCAATACCCCCCATCCCATCCTGCCTCTGTGGCAAAGCATTCCCTTTTGTTCTCTCTCTCCTTTTGGGTGCTGTGGTTTGCAAGAGAGAAATTGAGTGGCAATTATGTTCAGTCTATGTCTACTTTCAGCATGCATCTACCATCCTGGGAGGATCCTCCTAACACCCTTTACTATCATAGGATTTTTTTTAGTCTTTGGATTTTCTTTGCAAGTAGACTGTATTACTTTTATTAAAGAAGCTAATAAAACTAGAGAAATATGTAAGACTTTAAGCACAAAGTCAATACAGTTAATATTTCACTGCTACAATTTCACTATATAATAAACATTTGTCACCTCCCTGCTCTAGATCCTCTGGGAACTTTCTTGTGCCTACCCTCAACCCCAGGCTTCTTCTTCTACATAGGGATGTTCTCTGCCGCTCCATCTCATTTAATCCTGCCTATTATCTATGATCTGTTTGGGTTATGGTATTGACTAGCTATCTTAAAATTCCTTTTCTCTTCTGTTTAGCTTTTTACTCTATTTATCGTTAATGTGTTTCTCTTTCTTGGTAATACATACAAGGGATGCTAATTTTCCTTCATTGTCTTTTGTTTTATAAAATCGTCTCAATTTTTTCTTAAGTGTGTGACATGCATCTCTAAAAAGACTAAAAGGTCCTAAACAATGTTTCTTTATAGCCATTTATCTCCCAGTAATTATTGTTTACGTACCAATTGTATTAAATTATTGTAAATGTAAATGATCCCCTAATTTTACCTGAGCAATTCAGCTAATACTGAGATTTTGTAAAACTTTGTTTACTAGACAACAATCCTTGTTATTGTCTCATATTTCCATATACCTTTTCAGTGGCTCAAAATTAAGCCACCAACATTAGTGTGCTCACTCTGCACTACATGGCAACTCGGTCTGCAATTAAAGCAGCTTGCCAAGCAGGTAGCAGCACCTGTATATAATAGTCGCATCATAATATAAAATATATGTCTGTATGTTTTAAATTGGTTGTTGCTGAAATAAATTGCATTATAACACTATGTATAAGGTGTGCATGACTGAAGGAAAATAAATGTGTGTCCCCTTTGTCCCTTTTCCCCTCCTTCCCCAATCCACCCCATACATACACACACATTCTCCATTTTCTTCTGACGACCACTAATTGTGGAGGACTCCAAACAATAACTTTTTCCAGTTCATTTCGCTTAGCATAGTACCTTCTAGTCAACCCACAGTATTGTACATGAAAAGATTTTTTTTTCTTTCTTTCTACCGGACTAGTGTACCACATCATTTCATCCAGTTGTCAATGGATAGGCCTTTAAGATATTTCCTGCTACAAGTTATTATAACTAATGTCCCATTAGTATGGTTTGCATATATCTTCTCAACTTATTAATTTTATAATTTCTATAAATCAAAAGTGGGATGATTGAAACATAGGGAATTTCTACTTTTAAGTCTTGAGGAATCTCTGCACTACTTTCCATAATGGCCTCGTTTTTTAGGGTCCATATCATCTAAGGTCCATTTTCTCCATAGCATCTTCATCAAATGTAGTTTCTTATTTGGGGGGAAGATAGCTATTTTCACAGAGGCTGGATCTAAGAGTTGCACTCATTTGTATTTCCCTTATAATAAGAGATTATAAGCAGCTTTTTATGTATTCATTAGCTACACGGTAAGATGTGCCCAATTTTATTCTCTGCCATTTTTTAATTGGTTAGTTTTAATGTTGAGTTTTGTGAGTTCACTGTATTTCTTTTATATTAGTTCCTTTTCAGATGTGTGATGTGCAAATGCCTTCTCTCATTCTGTAGAACTTCTTTTCATTTGAGGCATTTATTTGGCTGTACAGAAGCTTTTGTGTTTGACGTACTTCTATTTGTTTATTCTTCCTTTCATGTCCCTTGCCATTAGATTCCAGTCTCCAAACACATCTCTAAAGCAGATGTCATGGGAGCATATCACCTGCAGTTTCTTTTACTAATCAGTCTAATCAATTATCTTCATTTCACTCACATCTTTGCTGCTTATCATTTGTTTTTGTCATTTGTATGTGCTTTCTACTCGAAGGGAAATATTTAAATATCTTTAAAATATTTAAAAATAAACTCCTAAGAAGAACTTTTGGACATTCTTCACACTCTTATTTTTACCAACTGACTTCAACTTTATATGATATGTAGAAAAGTAGTTTAAAGTGGCTTTTATATCATTTTATATCATTTGCTTTAATTTGGAATCATTTTCCCTTTGGGCACAGACTCATGACTTCATTTTCCTCAGGTATTGGCACTCTTGCTCTCGATCTTTCAAGGTAGAATTTAATATGAGACTTTTTTTTAGCCATTTATTGGCGAAAAGTGAATCATCATAGCCATCATAGCCTCTGTTCCTATTTATGTATCTCTGCAACCTTCCTTCTAAAATACTTAGTAAAACCCACGTGGTAGTTATTTTCTGTCCACAGTTCCCTGTTTCTCCTTCCCACCCACCACCTCATATGCCTTGAATGGTTGAAAAATGCATAATTGAAATGGGCGTTAAATAATAAGGCCCATTGCAATTCTTCTTCATTAGGTCCTTTTGCTCAGCCCCAGCAGGAAGGACAAGTGAATCAGAATTCATATATAAATAAATTTTCTTCTAACAAAGCACAGTTTTTAGGTACTAAAAAGAATAAGGGAGGGCTTGATAACTAATGTATAAAATCTGTGTCTCCACTGCTGCTTATTCTGTAAATAAACATTTATTGGAACACAGCCAGGCCTATTCA